GCACAACTCTTTCAATTAAAGCTAAACTAGCTTAAGCAAGTCTCTGTCAAAATTCTTCTAAAATTTGATTTTAATTACTTTGTCTCTCACCGCTTCTTGAGGAAATTCTTACAACTTACTGCTATAGTAAATCTCAATAGTCTAGTTTTAAGAAATGGGGCAAAGTTTTAACAAATCCAAAATTGTGTTTTAATGAATCTGTGATCAGAGTAAAATATTCTAAAATATGTCAGACCAGTTGAAATATTTTTGCCCTGATGTCTGATCTATTGCAAAGTGCTCCTAACACCAAAACATCATTTAAATTTTTCCATTTCAAGAACAACTTCCTTTCAAGCTTAAAACACACATCTTCATATGAAAATTATAGCAAAAGTCCCACACCGCTGAAATATGACACCTCTCCATTCTTTGTGCTCAATGTTTTCTTCAGAGGTTTTTGTGTCGTTTCCTTCAATAGTTCTTAGTGCAACACCACCACAGGTCAGGGGAGGAACGGGGTTTTTTTGCACTGTACACCAGCTGAAAATGTAACAAATGTTTAAAATTTTGTCCCCAATCAATCCCAGTGCCATATAATGCACTGAAAATATCTTTCAAACGTTACAAAAGCTCTTAGATCCCCCACGCGCTCCAAAACTCAAACCAGACGAGTTTAAATAAATTTTTTTGTTAAAATACAATCTAGTTTTATTGACAATTTATTGCCCCATGAAACACAAAAATGGATATATGTATACAATGTAAGAAATGCAAGCTTTAGGAAGAGCAATACAGCAGGATTGAAGACTAAACTAAATTCACAGTACTTAATAGAATACAGCACATGAAGATGAATAATAACAACCACTTCTCTTTTCTGGTGAGTTGGACAAAATGTTTAAATATCATTCATAAGTAAAAAGAAAGAACATCGTAAAACAAATATAGCATACAGTACAGAGTAGCCAAAATGGCTTCTTACAAGTTTGCATTTCAGCTTGTAACAACTAGCGTGATTGATTGTCAACCTCAGTTTTTCTAAACAGCAATCATACGATAACATACGTAACATAAGATTCATATTTATGATGTTGGCATTATGTGAATATGTGGATGTATATGAACTTATTGTACATAGTTACAGTATTTTTTTTTTCTAAAGCTTCATTTGTTTTGAGGTCAGCTCATTTTTACTATGGATTGGTGTTTTAAATTAATCTTCAACAAAGAAAAAGAAAAGATCCATGTAATCTGTTCATGAAAACCAACAGATGTTCAGTAGATTATACACAGCCAACTTGTGTCTGATCTCAGCTGCTATTGCTTTTTAAATTGGGTTGCACGCTATTTAGAGCCACAGGTCCCTGCACTAACAGAAGATACTCCTAAGAGGGGGGAGAATGGGAAGAGGCTGAGGGAGGGGGGTAGTGTCAGGGCCAAGGACACGACGAGACCGAAGCTCATTAACAGCACTCACAGCGCCGCAGGAGGAACAGAGGAATTGCATAGTGTAGCGGCATCGTCTTTCACATGTTTTCCTATGGAGTGTGTTGTTACCCTGTTTGAAGGTTCCTGAACCCCTTGGTGCCCCCCACCAACCTCCATGTTGCTCTTGCAGCTCATTATGACGGGGGCCACGAGATGATAGGTTTATTTTTACAAATGAGGGGGTGAGAAACTGAAACTTAGCGACTGTAAGCTCCTTGAAAAGATTCGGCCAAGAACGTGTTTAGCATCCTTCAATACAGCGCAATCTAAACAGAAATAATCATTGATATCATTGCTAATTCTTCTTTAAAAAAAAAAAAAAAAGTAATAAAAAATAAGTATACTATCGACTACATCATAAGACTGATGACATTTGTGCGATGTTTGGGAAAAAAAAGCCCAGAATGCTGTGTCATGTGGCGGCCCAGGGCAGCAGGAATGAGATTATGACGATGACGAGAGAGAGCGAGACGGGCAGCAGGAGCAGCAGCTTGACGGGGAGAGGTAGGGATGAGGGCCACAGGGAGGTCAGCTTGGAGCCTCGGGACCCATCCGAAGGACTCTTCTGCTTCTCCACGTTGGGCCCAGTGATGATGAGCGGCCTCACCTGCGAAACGCTCTCCTGAGGGATGAAAACAAGGCAAAGGACGGGGATCATTCTATTGCGTCTGGATGCACTTGCAGTTCCTCCTTCAGTTAAAACCAGAGAAAAGTCTACGAATTTTTTCAGTTTTTTTGTTATGTTTTTAGAGACCAAGAAATGTAGGCATCAAAACAAGTTTGAAAAATGTGAAGAGGAAGCGCATTCCTTAAAAAATGGTTGATAAAAGCAGCAAAATTAACAATCATTTCAAGGATTTTGCTGCAGAAAACTAAAACAACTCAGACTGTAGGTTTCATAGTAGAAGTCAGATCTAATGGGCATTTGTTGGTTCTGTTTGAGTTTTATTTATTTATAGCCTATGGAAAAATTAATGTAGGATTAACCAATTAATAATTGGATAGCAAAAAGGTGCTTTATATATATATATTTTTTTTATTTTATTTTTTATTTTTTATTTTTTTTTTACAGAATTTGAACCAGGTGAAGCTAAAACTAAACTATTTGAGGAGTTCTGAGTGAAACAAAATTATAGCCAGAGATATTTTGAACTTAAATGCAACATGTACTGTTTTGTACAGTTTTACCTCTAGTGGTCTTTTTTGAGTCTGTATACTGCAGCTAACAATCAATTTTTAAATTAGTTGACAATTATTTCAATAATCTATTAGTCATGAATAGTACAATTAATCATTTCAGCCCTACTTGCGACCATGGTATTGGCTTTGCTTTAAACATTGGGATGTAAATAGAAATATAAAAATTACATCAGTTTCACTTTTTATGAGTGTAAGCTGCTGCAAAGTCAAGTTGAGTAAACTGAAGCCATGTCACATTTTCTTTCACAGACAGAGAATTTATGTAATAATAGCAAATATGTTGACTTTAATTTAGATGTTAGTATGTGGATTTAATTAGAAACAAGCAGCAACCTTGTTACTATTTTAATTATTATTATATAGTACGTATTTAGATTTTATGGCTTTGAATTTAAGTGCTTTTGACCTTTTTCCAAAACAAATATGTCGTTCAGTACCTGGCATTTATTCTGTCTAATTATAGCTTTTTGACTGTGGAATAACAGCTTATGAGGTGAAACAAAAATCTCCTGTCAAATCCCATCTGCGCTGACCGGACTGTAATAACAGGGTTAAACAAGAGAGAATCTAAATGGACTCTTTTACTGTCCAAATGTCCGACTCATTTTGCCCTGTGACCAAAAATAAATAAATAAATAAATAAAACATCAGATGAAATATGCAAATGAGATTTTTGGGAAGTGGGCGAGAGTGAGAACAAAGACAAGAGATAAGACAGATGCAAGGCAGGTTACAAATGCCTGGAGATTACATAATCAATATGGCACTTCATCATAAATACCTACATAAATACTTTGGCAAATTCTGCCTGTAGACTGAAAACAAGCCATCATTCGGTCTCTTCGTAGGACAATTGCCCAAACATGAGACCAAATCAATACAGAAATGGTTCACCGAACACAAAATCAACTTTTTTCCAAGACTATTTTATCAGTTCTGGAAAAGAGCAGAAGGAAATCACAAGTGGGCTACCGCAAGGTTCAATCTTAGGTCCCCTCCTATTTAATATCTACATGCTCTTCCCACTAGCTCAGGTTATAACAGGAAACAAGATTAGCTGCCATAACTATGCAGGTGATGCACAGCTCTACGTTACAATATCACCAGGTGACTCTGAACCCATTTAAGCACTAAACAGATTCTTAAAACAGATCAATGTGTGGATGTGCCGTAACTTTCTCCAGCTGATTAGAAACAAAACTGAAGTTATTATTGTTGGGCCTAAAGAGGAGGAAACTAGAATCAATGCACAGCTTCAGTTATTACAACTAGAAACTAGTAATCAGGCTCAAAATCCATCATCAAGTGGTGATGGACTCTCACTTGAACCTTCAGAGCCACATATAGACAGTTACAAAGTCGGTCTTCAATCACCTGAAGAGCATTTCCAAGCTTAAAGGACTCATGTTGCAGCAAGACTCATCGATGCTTTTCTCTAAATCAAAGTGTAAAAAACTTTGAACTTGAGGAGAAGATTCAAGATTCCAGACAATCCTGAGTTAAAGTATGGTAAACTATGCCCCCACCTACAGAGTATTTTATTTTAAATGAAACCAATCAGCTTGATGATTGTCCCTCTACCTCCAGGATGGTCCTGCTGTGTGCTCTGTCGGGACTGAGCCGCAGGTTCCAGCGATGGCTTTTGTGGCTCCGCCCTCCGTCGTCCTCACTCTCCGTGGTGTCCTGCCGCGCCACGCGAGGACGTTTGCGCCTGCGTGAGCTGATTCGCTGGAGAGAGCTGTGCTCCTGGATTCTGAACCAATCAGACTTAAGGTCAAAACATTATAAGGAAAAAAAAAAGTACAAGCCAAGCAAAACGTGGCGAAGAGGTCCCCCAGTAAAAACCAACCTGCAGTCTGTGTCCTCTATGTCAGCATCTGCATCGCTTTCTCCCTGAGGGTCGGATAACAAGCACTCCTCCTGCAGCGCAGAGGAACATTAAAATACATTACGTTCAAAATATGAGTCGTCGTTCAATACAAAAAAAAAAAAGATGGTGAATCACAGCCATTAGTTGTCACAAACAACCTCCGGTGGTGGCATGTGTCTAACCGCATGTGCTCATGTGTGACTTTTCATTATGTCACGGTTGTTAATATGCATGAGCCAGCTGATGCCTCCTTCGATAGCATGACCAACGAGCTCACCACTTATATAAATGTCATCCTATTTATATCCCAGCGGTATTGATCTCCTCTTGAACAGTTGAATGAACACCTCAAATTGTTGAATGACTTCTGCATAGAATTGTTGTATGAAAGGGAATTTCCTTTAAACCATTGACTAGAACATCTGGGGCCAGTTAAACCAACAGTGATCAAGTAGTCAGAGGTGGTCTGAACTAACTTTGGAAGGTTTATTTCTCACTAAACTGGTTCACTTAAGAATTGCTATTGTATAATTGCTATTACTATTTAGCCAAACTTTTTAGATTTCTGTCTGGTAAAAAAAAAAAGAAAGAAAAAAGATATTGACAAAATGTGAAAAATTTCAAGGATTCTGAATACTTTTCCAAGACAATGTAGATCTGACATGTTGGAACCTTCTAGAACTTTGCACAGTATAATAGAGAGAGCTCAGTGTATAGGGTGCTTTAGCTAACTGATGACACACACACCCACACGCACACACACACACACGCATATGATATATATTACCTCTGTGCCATATCCCTCAGAGTACCTGGTTAACATGACTCTGTTTTTTCCACAGTGTTCACACAGCAGAGTGCCCTGACAACAGAAAAGCAAGAAGATAGCCGAGAGTGACTGATCCTGAAAACACTTTGAGGAATAAAACACACACACATCTACGCACACACACACAACATGACAGCTGTCAGCTCTGAGCTGCTACTGTAAAATGTACAGTAGAAAAACAGAAGCAGCAACAGAGATACGGAAGAGATCGGTAGGAGGCGAAAGGCACGTGTTTACATGTAGAGGGACGCTCTGAGCGACGCGGTGCGGCGAAGTGCAGCGTTTTTCGCCGCGCGCCACAGACACTTAAGTGGGAAGCCTGAGCACTCACCAGCGTAGGCGCGTGTGCTTCTGAATAAAGTGTACAGGGACCGGCCTCACACAGGCACACTATATCTACCTCTTCACAACTCGCCCCCATCTGAGACAGAGACAAAGACAGAGAGGATGAACTGGTGACTCTTTGATGCCTCTTACTCCCTTTTACTGCCTGCCAGCGGCAGATTAAGCAAACGCTTCACGAAGGAAGTTCTAAGATGTTGTTTCCCAAACTTTTTTTTTTTTTTTTTTGTGAATTATGCATCTCCTAATGGCTCTGTGATGTAACCTTTTCCACCTACTTGTATTTTCAAGAGCTGAAAACCGGGCGCTGATTAGACTGCCTCTGCCAGACGCTGGAAATCATGAATGCTTAAAAACCCGGGTAATTAAGCCGAGGAAGTAATTAACATCACATCCACTTATCATAAAAGACACTTCTTTGTAGATTACATAATAAAGTTGCTGTTTTTTGGGGGGGGGGGTTTAGGGGATTGAATATTGACCTCACAAATTATTACAATTTTAATCAAGCGTATCAGTTTGTAACTGATGTTGTGTTCTATAACGCAGGCATTTCAACAATATCAAGGAAATTGTTTTGGTAGTAAACGCTGCATAAACATTTGATTTAGAAAATTTTGCTTAAAGTTTTCAATTAACTACTATTTTTGTCCATCAACACTGAGCAGAGAACAGGAAGGGTGATATGTTTATATGGGTTGTATTTAGGGGTGCACTGATCGATCGACCGACTGCCCCGATTTCCTTATTTTTGGGTGATTTGATATCAGCTGATACTTACATGTAAATTCGATTTTATCCACTAAGCTTATCTACTTCAGCAGAGGTCTGAAAATCAACTATTATATTGATGAATGGTACACCTAAGCTGTTTTTTTTAGCAGAAAGGTTAACTTATGTTAAAAAGTTAGGCTTTGTAACTTTGCAGGAGCTAACATGCTAGCATTCTTGCTAGCCCAAATGTTAAAAGTTACATCAGTGGAGTTTAGGGCTTTAATGACAAACCGCTTAAGCTACATAGTTGAGAAAGTTTGTTTCCACAATCGGTTTGAACTTTTAAAAAATGTAACAGCATGTTATAGCTACTAAAGGCCAAGCACCAATATATTTTGAAGCCATGAAACATATCAATATTAAAATTGCTTTCTTTCTTTCTTTTTTTTTTTTTTTTGCATTGGGACAAGTTTTAAGTGCTACATCTATAAAGGAAATGTGAATGTGTTACTGTGGAAGCAAAATAGTGACGAAGATGGATTTTTTTTGCTGCTGACTGAAAACAGTATATCAACTGGAAAGATGTAATTGCCCCAAAATTATGAAACAATTGAAAATCTGAGGGGTCAGATCATGTTAGAGATAGTACAGAACCCTGAAGTAGGGAGTCAACAGTCAGACCAAAGCGTCAACCAAAGTCGTTGTTTGCGAGCATAAAGTTTACGGAGTAAAAACTGGCTCTTTAACAACAATTTGTACTTTTTATGTGTTTTCTCTTAGTACAAACTTGACAACTACTGTCCACATTTGTGTTAAGTCAAAAACCTGTCTCAAAATTATTTTTCTGGATGTTTAGTTGCAATAACTACCTTTTTTTTCTCAGTTTGACTGTAGATGCTGTTTGATTAGGTGTTTATATTTTACTTTCGTGACACAGATGGTGTCCTCAGAATTTACTTTTTGGTAGCTCTTCTAAATATGTACTTTTTATTTGAAGAAAAGTGAGACTTCCTTAACATAACTGAATTAAAAGTGGGGTTATTTTAGGAGACAGCTTTTGGGAGGATGTTGTTGGAGCACACCTGTCAATATTAGAAAAATAGCGCTGGTCAGAACTGGAGTTGTTTTGAAATTACAATTTTCTTACAAATGATCATTTACTGCTGTGGTGGCATACAGACAGACTAGGTTTGTGGGTTTTAAATTACTGCAAGGGGTGACGGTTTACTATGTCTCCTAAGTACTGCTCACAGACAGTCCTTCCTTGTCCTGACTGAATAAGTTCAAATACAAAGCTTCACTTTATGAACTCATATTTGAGCTGGGAACTTTGCCAACACAATTGTTGGTTTATATGAATATTTTACTATAAATTAATGCCCGAGTTTGGCATTCCAAATGGAATGTCATCACTTAAGCATGGTTAAACATGATGTAAAATTAACTTTAAGCGTAAATAGTTTTTAAAATTTAGCTAAATGAAATGCATGCAATTTGTTACCTCAATTTTATGAATTAAATTTTAAGTTGGTTTAGGCGGTATGAAAGCTTGTTAGGTGTCTCAGCTGGCTCTATGACTTATTTTCTATGTAATGCAATGTCAAAATCCAGGTAATCCAAAAACAGGTTTTGCGCAATAGATAAATAAAAAGAAGATTTAGAGCCTTACCTCACAGTCATTATCGGATGTCTCTCCAGAGGTAAACAGGCTGTGGGTGTCAGACTCCCTCCGCAGCATGACCTCTGACTGGGATCAAACACTCACGTGGACCTAGAGGGGGGAAACTATTATTTTCATTGACTTGACTTTGTTCGGAAAATTATTTATGCTAACACTCTTTTCACTTGGAGGTTTCATTTATTTTTTCTGAGTGTTCTACTTCTTTTTTTTGTTTTAAGAATGATTCATTGATGGACTGCAAAAACAAACAGCATTGCAGTGGTGTAGAAGTGATGCTGTCTTTACGCAAACAGCGGGGTTTGTCATCACATCACATCACAGCACCTCTCTAGCATCTGCTCAGCACTGTCCGCACTCCCATTACGTAATAACCACAGAGCATCAATGTTATAGGTAGCCTGAGAACTTTTCACATAAAGTAAAAACGCGGACAACATAACAAGGGCGTTCTAATAATTAAAATCGAAAAATTCAAATATATAATTACTGAATAAGTATTCAATATTTCCGGTATTTCCCAACTCTAAGATATAACAAAATAAGAGCGGAGTAACCCATCTTACCCGAAAAGCATCGCAGGACACAGAATAAACCCATAAAAGGTCGGCTGAGTGTTTTGATTAGAGAACGAGCCGGCGCACTCGGCAGTGCGTGTCATTGTGGCGCGGAGAAGCCATGAGCTCGCGCTGTTCGCTTATGTTTGACATTGTGGCAAATCCTCTGCGTGATGTCAGCGCGAGCGATGACAGGCAGCTACAGTCAGGGAAGGCGCGCGCTCACTCACACAGTACACCAAGCACCGCGGGAGCGCGAGCCAGAGATTGGTGCGACTTCCGTTTTAACGTGGCTTTCAAAATAAATTGAACTAGGTGAAATTAGAACGACATGAAAACAATGACACGTGTACGTTTCTTCCTTTTTACAGCTTATTGCTATATCATAGTATATAATAAGTAATAAATATATCACAAGAGTCTCTTCAAATTTATCTTCATCAAATATGAAATCCCCCTATTTATATCATGACATGTTGAGTTTAGTAATTCTGAGATTAATGGCTCTATATGCATTTGTCTTTATTTCTGTATAGAGTAAATAAATCGTTTAAGAAACATGTTTCATTAATATTAAATCCATATTTTTGAAATATTTTTATTGTGAAATAATTCTTTGACTTCTTGAAGCTTTTGCTGGTAACTTGAGATCTGTGTTATATTCTTTATTATTCAAATTATGAAGATATGTTTTTTTGTTTGTTTTTTTTTTGTTTGTTTTTTTAAAAAGACGTGCTTCTTGGGGCACCATGTTTGTTTCTTCTTTTACAGCAGTCTCTTAAAAAATACTCAACATAAAAATGTGCAATAAAATGCGATTTGAACACGTACGGCACAGATACCAGATACTGAGATTATAGAAATTTTTGATCAACTTGTAATTGGTGTCATCTTGTTAGTCCTACCTTGTAGATGTTATTTTATCAGGTCGGTGAAAAAACACAATGGCATGTAAAAAGGAAAATTCATGTATTTTATTCTCACATGTTGTTACATAACATAGTTCACTAACAATATATTCTGTAATACCAAAATAGATTGCTATATTTTTTTGAAGGATCAGAAAAAAATTATTGTGGATAACAAACAAAGATACTATGACCAATTATAGGAAAATAAGGCTAAAATACTGTTTGAAACAATTCTTTTAAAATTTATTGAAGACCTGCTTGAAGTGCTCTGTTGAAAATTGATGCCACTGTTTTACTCCCCTCACTGTGGATTTAATGTGTTTCTCACTCCGGAACATGTGACAGATAACTTTGATTAAATTGTGATTTCATCAAAGGAACAATGTATGTTTAGTGCATACAAAAAGGAAATTGCTAAAGAAATTGTTTAACTTGTGTTGTGAGACCAGGCAGAATCAATTTTTAATCACAGGGTTTATGAGTTTGCAGAGAGTTTTACATTATTGTGTATTGAGCATTATGTGACTTTATGGGTGTGTTTAGAAAACTGGTAAAAAAAACTGAGTGACGCTTGAATTGAGAGCAATATGCAGAGTGCACATGGATCTAATGGACTAAAGCTTTTTTCCATTTCACTTTCCATCCTGCTCACTGTGACAATGATAGAAATAAACCTTTGTGTGTGAAAAGATGCATCTTTCAAATAGTCTTGGTTTAAGCTAAATAGTTGCTGGAAAAAAAAAAACTTTGTGTTTTGATGCAAAAAACTTGAAATGTTGCATTCCCTCTACCTTTGCTTTGGAAAGCATCTTAAAAGTGGTTCTGTGAGCCCTTAAATCATCTTTTCCAAAGAAAGGCGCATACCTACTGAACATGGAATTGCAGGTCACTGCTGCCACATCTCATTGTTGCATTGAATATGCGCTGCGAGGCAATGTGGTACACTGGTATGTTATTGTCTTTGAGGAAAATGAGACGTTTACTTGAAGTAAAACGGTGCACAGTTTAAGTGTTGAGTCGTGCGAGCAAGTCTGGACGGTTAAAGTGGAGACACGTAAAGTTTTCAAGACGACAACAATGGCGTCGTGATAAAAAAAAATTAAAATGAGACCAGGCTTGAGTTTTAGAAAACTACATTTAAACGTGTTGGAAGAGCGTCCCATTTCAAGCTGACCTCTCTAATGACGAAATCAAAGTTCAGTTTTTTGACCCTGACATCTTAAAAACCCTCAAACGTGCAGCAATTACATGTGATTTTTGTCTTGATCTTTATCTTGGCACTTAGAGTCGACCTACAGTCGGTTCAGTAGCCATGTAGGGACCCGCAATAGAGGAAGAGGGGGGGGAAAAAAAGAGTTGCAAGCATTTATTTAAACAGCCACTACCGCACAGAGACACACACCGAGACACAGAACATCCTCACATCCCGAAAATTGCTTTTTCCCACAGAAAACGTGTCCCTTTCTGTAAGGGCGCCGCATCGTCCCCACAACTCTGCAGCTGCACTTATCGGGTCTGGTAACTGGAGCCTTGCCAAAACAAGTCTGCTGTTTATTTGTGAGCAAAAGCCGTCTTTGGGAGGCTGAAGAAGTAAAACTTTAGACACTCCCAAGACAAGCAGCGAATATGTATATTTGGGAGCAGACTTTAAAATGCCGTGTTGATAAATAAATGCCTAAACGATATTAAGTCTTGCAAATGGAGCTCATTTTGACTGAATTCTCCCATGAGTCCTGCTGCCGCCAGCAGACAGCAGGGCTACTGAGTGAGATAAAGTGTAATTAGGGGAGACCTAATGGCCGAGGGAGGGATCCTCATTAAGGTTGCATGTGGACCATGCAAAAGACCCTTGGGGACAAACCAAATACTGTTTTAGAGACCTTTCTAGTATCTGGCAGTAGTCCTTAAGTCTTTTCACATTTTGCCTCACAAACTTTAAGTATTTTATTAATATTTAAGGTGATAGACAAACACCGAGAAGCTCCTTTGTTTCTACAAATAGAATCAGAAAAGTGTGGCATCTATTTGAATTCAGTCGCCTTGTCAAAATACTTTGCATAGCCATCGTTTCGTCGATAGGAATGCAACTATAAGAGGTCACAAGCCAGTGATTCCTTGTACCAGTCCCAAGTCTTTAAAATGCACAGGGTGGTTTCAGGAAGGGAAATCCAACATAAAGCCTAAACCAGATCAAATACGTGACTCACAAACATCAATTCTGTAGTGGATTGGTTGAGGCCGGGGTCAATAACACCCTCCAAAATCAGCATTGTTAGCATCTACTGCAGTGAGACTCCATCTGATAGGCAAAATGAACTATTTATGTGAGTTTATGACATGTAGAATGTAATACTCATAATATTATGCACATTGACGATGCATTGGAACCCCTGTACTTCGATCTTTTACACCAGTAACTAGCTTCCCCGCAGTGTTTTGCATGGTCTCATCTGACTAGAAGTTGTTTGCACTGTCCTTTACCTGGCTTTGTTTCAAAACAAGTAACTAGTACTGATGTGACAATAGCACTGCACTGCTTTCAAGAGAATATTTCCTGCATATTTGGCGCAGTCCTGCTCATAAAAAGTTCACTGCCCTACTTAAAAAAAACTTATGTAAGAACAATATGTCTTCATAAAACTGACAGAGGAAATTGCTTGAAAGCAAGATGAGCTCTTCTGTGTGTGTGTTAACTAAAGAGGACGGAAGTAACAGATCTAAAGGAGAAGATAAAGAGGCTTGTATATACACTATGATACCAACACAAACAGGAGATTTGGCCTTGATAAGGAAATGAAGGAAAAGGGCGCAGCTCAAATAAACCATAACCGATGCACCAGTGCATCCCTCGCCCTCCTCGCTCTCCAACCGAAACTCTCGCCAGCCGTTGCTTCTGGACACACACGGGGAGATGAAAGTCAGAGGGCAGCTGCAGAGGCATTTCTGAAAGAGCAGCAGGGAAAGGCATTCCGTGAATTTTCTCATCAGAGTTGGGATCAGGACTTAAACACAGCCCATCAAGGCTCACAAGAATTCTCTGAGGTTGCAGAGCTCAGCTGCAAAAGAACAACAGCGGACGTTTAGATCAGACGCTTCAAATCTGAAGGAACAAACACGACACCCAAGGCAATTACAGGTTATGGTAGAGTGAGGATCGGCCAGAGGTGGCTCAGAAATTGGGATTCTGGGCGTGGGAGCTTTGCGCTCCTGTGGTGGACAAGTGAGGCAGAGCATCCACAGATGTTCAGATAGAGATTTAGTGTCTGTGAGGTGGAGGCTGACTGCGCAGTGAGAAGAGAAAGTACAGGAAAAGCAAGGAGTTCTGTTTCTATGAGGAATGACGGGAACGAAAGACAAGGTCTGGTAGATCCTCAACGAGACTTTCGCTCATTTTCAGGATGAAAAAGTTACTTTTTCAGCTGAGGAAAAAGTAACTTTTTTAACACATTCATTTCTTCAAGAGACCAATGAAGGAAACGGATCAAATCAAGGACCTGACCTGGGATTTTGACCAATCCTGGGACTCGATCATTAAACCAGCTGCATGCCTTTGCCTCAACTCCTTGGATTTCTCTGACCTCTTCGATGAAGACGACAGTGAAGAGGACGAGCAGCTCCTTACATCACCACCAAGTCAACACCTGTCCGTGGCACCTCCTCCGCCACCTCTTCCACCGCCTCTTCCTCCACCTCCCGCTTTACCTTCACCATGTAAAGGTGCAGGAATTAAGAGCCACACCTTAAAGCTTCACTGGAGGGAACTCCAGAACCTGACCCCGCTTCCCAGGATGACACGCTTTGGGAAGCAGACTATATGGGCCGGGCTGGAGCCAGTGCAGCTGGACAAGAACCGTCTGGAGTATTTGTTTGAGTCTAAGGCCACCAGTACCAGTTTTAAGGTGGTTTCTGGGCGGCAGGTGAGAATGATAAAAAAAAATTTAAAAAACACCTTGAAACCAGGACTTCTGTCCATTTCTAAGTGTTTTATGAAAAGACAAAATGGCAAAGTGTGTTACTGTCAAATATAGCGATCTGCTTATGTCAGTCCCAACAGCTGATTTAGTAAGTCTCTATGTGTGTTGAGGGTTGGATGTAGCAATAGCCGAGTTTCCATTACAAATGTGCACAAAAACTTGTGAACACTCCACTAATGTCAAAAATCCACAATTTTGTGTTTCCTCCATATTTGTTGAAACTGTCACCATATTGTGACAGTTTTATATGAGACAGACAATCTGTGAAAAGAATGGACGACTTGTGATTTCTGAAGTCAGCTGATCAATAACAATGGTTTGTAGTCATTGGCAGCTATAAAGTAGGTAAGTTTAGTGAAAATCCCATCAAAATCAAAAAGCAGTCATGACAGTAATCTTTCAATCATTACTGTTTCTGTTAAATTCAGTGTAAACCATACACTGGCTCAAAGCCCGAGTCTTTCAGCCTGCATTCAATTTGTGGTAGGCGTATAAGTGAATGATTTTAAAATCAATGCAGCAAAAAGGTAATGTTTGAAGATTCATCACCAGGTACATTTATTCTCCAATGTTCAGATTTTTTTGTACTCTTTGAATTTAGGTCAAAACATTATTGTTGTTTTTAGGAAACGTTAGTTCAAATCTATGGAAGCCCGTTTATTCCACTTTGATGAAAACAATAAATAAATTTGTGTCTCACAATTATGACTTAGGTATCTCGTTATGAGATACCCTTTAGTTGTAGGTCATAATTATTAGATAGTATTTCATTCTTATGAGAACTTATAATGACGATAAACTAATTATAAGATAGTCATGTCATACTTACTAGAGTCAAGTTGTTGTTTTTTTAATAGTGGCAGAAATTGGTATGAATACCCTTTGGAGGATTTATATGATTTATAAAATGATGCAAACATCCAAATATATCTAATTATAAATTATAAGGCAACAAAATCTGTGTCACAATCAAAAGGCAGGCAAAAAAAACCCATATTGCATCATAACAGTGTGCTGCCTGTTTCTCTTCAACAGAAGCTGTCGACTATTTCAGTGCTGGGCATGAAGCGCAGTAACATCATAACCATCGCCCTGAGCAGCCTGCCTCCACCTCGCCTCCTCCCTCCTGCTATCTACAGCATGGACAGCAGCGTGCTGGACAGAGAGGACATTCAGGTACACCGACCCTCTGTATCTGACCTTTAAACTTTTGTTCTGACACGGCGTTTACGTTGCTATCTCCAGCACGGGTTTGAACTGTTTTCACATTTCGTCTATAACAGCGACTTGAAGCTCTGATCCCAACAGAGGAAGAGCTTTCTCTGATCAACGAAGCCAAGGCCCAGAACCCCCACGCTCCCCTGGCCCAGGCTGAACTGTGTCTACTCACCCTGGGGGAAATACCTCACCTGAGTACGAGACTTCAGCTCTGGACCTTCGCTCTGGACTACGACTCCTTAGAGAAGGTAGACAGAAACAACACCTGTCATGACTGTCACCTTGACTGATCTCAGAATGGTTTGCAAACGTAGCTCTGCTGCTTCTTCTAACGTCCAAAGCCTAAAAAAAAAAAAAAAAGAAAACAGCCTGCTGGCTCATCTACAGTACCATTAAAAACCACATGTCTGTATTTGGTTATTTTCACATTTCAACCACAAAATTCGATGTGTTTTAGATATGGACCAGCAAAAGAAAAGAAAAAAAGAAGTGTCATGCTCAATTTAAAACCCAGTAAAAGAGCTACAAGTAATCTAATTGATAAGTTAACGCTCAACAGCTAAAGCAACAGGTTGTTGCTGACAACTTATTGACTTGTTGAGAGCAACAAATTGTTGCTAACTGCAAATAGATCTTATTTGTCATGGGAAATGCTTATGCTTTGCCCTGGATCGAGGGCTGCTTTCTTTTTAGGTTTTGTATTAAAAAAACAACTTGCATGCAAATTAGCGACCAACAAGTTTCTAACTCTAAACCACCAAGTTACTAATTCACTTGCTTGTTAGCAAGCTGCTGATGGCAACTAACAACATATTCCAGCAACATGTTCTGGTCAGATGGTTTCCTCTGACCGGAACATCTTGTCACACCACGTGTCGTTGTTGTGGGGAAAGTCTTGTACAGAGCACAACTCCTAAAGCCAACCAGCACTGACCGAAATTCTTGCCACATTTTTCAGTTGTGAAACTTTTTCAAAACCGATACACTACGTTGTGTAAGTCTATATAAAATCCTTGGCTGTAACAACTAAAGAGTGTGAGTACTTCTGCAAGGCACAGTGTGCTGTTTAGTTCCCACAATGCCCTCTATATGTGTGTCCATCCATTATATAGGAAATCGCTGAGCCTCTGTTCCACCTAAAGCTGGCCATGGAACAGCTGGCCGCCAGCCAGACCTTCAGGTGCATCCTAGCGACCGTGTTAGCCATCGGTAACTTTCTCAACGGCTGTAAGGTGAGGGATCGTAATTGTTAGTTTCATTTTTTATTTCTGCTTAATTTCACTCATGCTTGACAACAGATTTCATTTCCCCAAGGCCCGTGGCTTTGAGCTGAGCTACCTTGGAAAGCTGTCCCAGGTGAGGGATACGCACACGCGCCAGCCGCTGCTGCACCACGTCTGCGTGCTCCTGCTGCAGCTCTACCCACAATCCTCTGACCTCTACTCTGACATCACCGCCGTCACTAAAGCCGGCAAGGTGCATACTGTGAGAAGTCACTACAAAAAAACAAAAGGCAGACAAAGTCACATTTGGTGCTAAAAAGGTGTCCCTCATCTCCGCAGTGTGACTACTCTCTAGTCCAGTCCAACTTTGCACAGTTAGAGGCCATGTGCAAAGCATCCTGGGAGCAGTTGAAGGTTCTGGAAAAGGCTGAGGAAAAGAGGAAAGGAGGAAAAGGAGATAAGCGGAAAGGGAAAGACGTGGAGATGTTCGCTCCAGAAGGTTCGCTCCGTCACAAACTGCCCAAGATCCTGAAGGAGTGCGAGGAGCGGCTGAAGGTCCTGAGAGCCGTTCACCGTCGGGTTATCAACAGGCACGCTGCACACGTTCACCAAACACCGAACTTTGAACGGCTTCACCCGTGATTTAGAACTTATCGTTTATCCTGCTGATTGTCTTTCCTTCTTCAAGGTTCCACTCGTTCGTCATGTTCCTGGGTTACTCCCGAGCCATGGTGCGAGACACCAGAGCAGAGGACTTCTGCAGGACCATCAGCAACTTCTCGCTGGAGTACAGGGCCATGAGGCAGGCCGTCCTTCTGCAGAGGGAGCGGGAGAAGGAGCGGCAGAAGATCGGAGGTGAAAGCCCGGAGCCCAGCACGCCTGTGGGCAGGAGGAAAGGTCAGCTAACTCCAGCGTCACAGGTTGGTGTTTCAAACACTCCCAAACCAAACCATTCAACACATTTACCTGTTAAAGGGACAATTTGGCAGAAAGGGGAAAAAAAATGCAACATGTGGGTGCAGAGGGAAATTAACCCAGAGCCATGTGAAATGCGTATAATCTTTGAACAGCACCTCTCTTCCGAAAGATCTGAATAAACTACTTTTGATCTGCCGTGCAGGAAAGTGATGAACAAAGCCGCCTGGAGGAAGTGCTGAGAACGCCAGAGTCCGTTCCGAGGAGGGATGGGACTTTACCACGAAGCCGCCGACGGATGGCTGACATCAAAGGTCTTTCACACATTATTTGTTTGTTTTTTTACTCTTACTTTGATCAGTTTTTCTGCTTAATTTAAAGTGAGTTTACTATATGATTTGTTGACTTGAGTGCTCATTTGTTTCTATTTCAGATTCGTTTTCAAGAAAACTGAAGGCATGACCTTGCTGATGTTCCCTGTTAGTCACTGGAGAAAGTTATTTATGATGTTGCCGTTACACTGAAATGTTGATCTCTTATATTCCCATATTTTACAGCCGGTGCATTTTGCAGCAGAGCCTTTGTCGAATACATGGGAAACTTTGAGTTGAGGATGAATTTTGTAATTTGCATGAGTCAAACTATTGTTATTGTTGTTTTTATAAACAGCTAAATTGAAGTTAGACTGAAAAAAAATATCCTTATGAAATAACTGATGCTAATAGTTTTGATTTCAATCCGTTTTTGACTATCAAGCTAAAGCAACAGCTAGAACCAGATGTTTACATAGACACATATTTTGCTCACGGTCTGGCACTTAATGCAATAAACTTTTTCTGTTTTCAGTCAAAAATATCACAAGCATTGTGTAACAGTAAAAATGTGCATTTGCATAATATCTAAATTAGCATTTTGTGGTCATAAATTGCTGTTGTTTGTAAAAAAAAATGATTTTTTAAAAAGTATGTGTGTTTAGAGAAATAAAATAAAATGATTTACAAAAAGAGCAATACTTGTCTTGAATCTGAGCTTTAAAGCATGAATAAAACTTAAAAATTAAAATGCTCAGCTGTATTATAAATAATAACAAGCTAATATTTAAATTTCACAGTATTTAGCAACTGCAGTCACCTGTAATGGTTTATTTACTCCAATCAATTTTATGGTAGAAACAGGCAAATCTTATCTGCAAATGTCTTGAGTAGCTAGCAGTCTTCAAAAACTACAAAAATTATAAATTCAAATTTTGTAACCATGGCCAAGTTTAATATTGTTATTTTGTGGAAACTACAATTATTAGTCATAATAATTACAAGAATGAAAGCTAAACTGTTTCTAAGTCAAACTGACAAAAATTACAGTCTTTGGACTTCGTATTGAGTTTTAGTCTTAAACATTCCTGACGTTAATCGTCTTTTGTTTAGGTTTTTAGCTTAAATTTTCTCACGCCGTCATTTGAGTCGAGCGACAGCGGTTTGCAGATATCTCTGTTGACTGACACATCTGTCCAGTTCAGCAGCCAATCTGTGATAGACTTTCCCAGAAGGGGGGAGTAGAGATCCAATCAGAAGCCAGGAATACAATCAGGGGGCGGGGCCGGCTCTGCTCACAGTGTGTGAGTCGACGCCATTTTGTGTCACCCGGTTTCAAGGTGCTGCTTACATTCAGTGAGCAGAACAGTAAGCGGATAACCCATCTCCCGAGTAAAACAAGCTTTCAGTTGTTCTCATTTTTAGTATTAAGGTACTGGTGAGTATTTTTAACGAGAGATTTTTCGCACCTTTTTCATTTTTTTCTAAATTTTGAAGCGTCTTTGGGATTTTTTTTTTATGTTATTTTTGTTTTTATTGCAATTTTTTCTGGCTGGTTTTCCCGAGACTGTGTTGACTGGCTGGCAGGCTGGCTGACTGTTATGGCGTACATTTTGTGACGGCAGTAAAAACAGCTCATAAACTAGTTTGCTGTAACATTCACCTCGGTGTCTTTGCTCTGTTTTTCTATTTTAAACCTCCATTTTTCAGGCATGTTGTGTTCTCTTGTCGTGTATCTGACTGTTGGCTCGTTTTCATGGAGAGAAATGTGGAGGATTGTTCCAGGATGATCTGGACTGCTTTTTTTTTTTTTAACCGGCTTATTCAATCTCTGGAATAAAAAGATGTTTTTTTATGTTGCTTTTTCATCAGCCAGCAAAAACCTGGTTTACATTTCTTGACGTAGTGTTTTTCAATTTTCTTTGTAGTGATTGCTGAGGCTTTATGTTTTCCTGCAGAGGAGTGATGTCATTTTTCAGGCATTTTTCAAGGACAACATTTGAACATTTTGCACAGTCAACAAGTTGGAGTTTTCTTTGCATAGGTGCCACATATTTTGTTCCTTTTTGGCAATATTGCTATATTTAATAAAGCTTTTTAACCCAAAAAGGGAAAGGTACTATTACATGAGAGGTGTTGAAGGGAGCTTGTGGAATACAATTTTGATTACCCAGTTTGTTTTTGAGCATATGACAATAAAGTTATTTCTATTTTGAGGTGTGCAGATGTTATGACCTGAGGGCTCACGGAGCTCCAATAGGGCTCAGGGTCTAAATAGCTCTGATACGGTGATACCTTGCTGCTTATTTGCAAATTCAGTTTGCTTATCTGTGTGAGTGTGACCACAAACAAGGTGGTTTAGCAGGCAAATCAATATTTTAACAGTGCTTTCCCCCCAAACAATTGCATTTTCTTTTGCTTTTTCATATTTATGCAAAGTTTCACCAGCAACAGAGGCACTCGTGTGTTTTTCCTATTTTATTGTTTAAAGCAACTCATAGTACTTACTAATCAATCAACCAGGTTTATTTGCATTGCATATTTCAGCAATAAGGCTTTATATAAGGCAAAGTGCTTTACAATATGTGACTTTTATATGGCTTAAAATGATAGTACCACTTTAATGAAGAAGTATGCAACCAAAAACAACACTGGTTTTAAAATATGTTTTTGTATTTAACATAATAGTTAATTTATGTATTGCATACCGGGTGTTAGTCACTTCACTCCTTTCTTATTTGGTACTTTTGGCCGTTTCATACCCAACTTTTTCAGGAACCAGAAGAAGTTGTCTGTCACGGGCCATTTTCTACCACCTTCAATTCATACCTACTGAACCTTATGAAGATTTTGAACTCCCTTTAACAAGCCATGATGTAAAGTCATTTGCTGAGATCTTCTAATAGTCTTATGGGTTTTTTGGGGGTACAAAGTGGAAGAAAGGTGGGACCAGATGTCTATGTGGGGCTCTATTACCTCGTTTCCACTGAGTGGCACAGCACTGGTCAGTGCAGTTCTGTACACCACCATATGGGTCGGTGTATTAAACTGCCATTTGAACTGTCACTGTTCAGTTGAGGTTAAACCCAAACGCTCAACATTGTGTCATACTAGTGTGACAATGAACATGACGCAGTAGTATGGCTCATGCTTGATACCATCAGTGACAACCAATGGACTGTGATGTGTAACAGCTGTAGTACCACTCCAACCATACCATATCACTTTCCTATGGACCTACAACTGAGAGGGTGTGTCGCAGAGGTCCATTGAAATCACTTTTAAAATGGAAACAGACCAAACAGTGTGAGGAACTGCACTGACCCGTAACCATACCGCATCCCTCTGACGGGAATTCATCTGTACTCTATGGCTGCTCAAGCCACCGAGGATGAGCCATGCTTGCTGCAGGAGCTTTCATAGTTGAAGCACCAACACTATATACATACAAAAACACAGACACAGAAAACTAAGTTCTTATATGGATTGGATGCCCAAGTTTCAGATAATAAAATAATATAAGGCAGTTAAATATTCTTTTTTTATTACTGGCCAGACTTTCCATTTATTGTAATTTGGTCTTTTTAGAGCTCAACTGTGGGCCATAATGTAGATGAAAGATGAATGTAATGATGCCATATAACAATAGTCCTCATGTTGACATAATCCCACTATACCACATATTGGTATATTGATGTTTTTTAGGCAATGTTCTATAAAGTTATCACCAGTGATAGGTTGCCTGTAGTAGAAAATCCTTCGAAAGCCACACAGACCCCCAGTTCATAACCATGTATTAAGAGTATCAGTCTCTCTGATCAGATGGCACTTATCAGTTTTGCAATGGCAAAGATTTGTTTCCAAAGGCACTTATTTTACATCAGCATCAGCTGATTAAGCCGGCAGCGTTACTGGAGCTTAGCAACAAAGCAGCTTAGCATTCTCTTCACCAATAATTAGAGATGAACCGATCCGACATTAATGTCTTAACCAGGCCCAATATTGAAAAACAATTGAGTATTAGAGACAATGTGCCTGATCCTTAAGGGCAAATCTATTCAGTCTAATTTCTATACTTAGTACTTTGAGCGATGTTTACTAAATCTCAGATATTTGTATAGGTATCGTGAGTGAAAAAAGTGCATCGGTGCCTCCCTACCAATAATACTACAGTGCTGTACCCTGGTGTTTGACTATAGCAGTTTGGATTCAATTGTTCTTAAACTGTACTCCCTTTTCTTCAAGACATGCATTACAGAAAAACTGACCAAACTATTCATTTAACAATCTATCCGAGCATTGACTCCCTATCTGGATCAGTCCAAACCAAGACTGAGCTACTCCACAAACTGCATAAACTGATGGGTTTGGAAATTAAACTCCTAAAGGAAAGTGAATGTGTGTAAATCCTGTAGATCCCTGCTTGAACCCCAACACTCCTGTCAGAATTAGAAACACCACAGCTTGTGGTCGCTCTATCGGGTTGCCAGCAGGGCAAATCATGCAGGGCGAGAGCACAGCATTAAGCTTTGGCCAGACAGTCTGCTGCTAACATGTAATCCCTCTGCTGCTGCTGCTGCTGCTGCTACTTCTGGGTTACACTGAGGCCCACCTGGCTGCACTTCTTGCTTTTGACGAGTGATATCTGTCTCTTGCAATGTGAAATAACAAAGTTTCTGCCAGCAAAAAAAAAAAAAATGCAACTTCATCACACACCTGCTAATTCAGTCAAAAGAATTATTAAATCTACAAAGGCAACAGGATTATAGGCACCATAAAGCACAGAACGCCTCTGGATGTTATTGTTTTTTTTTTTCTTTTGCTGCTGCCTCCATCTGATTCATAATTATAATGCACACCCCCACCCCACTGCAGTCTTACATAACTTTGTGACAACAAACTCAAAGCTCTTTACTCTCATTAAAGCCGAGGCTTCAATGCTAACAGTGAAGCGCTGCGGAGTCTGGAGCAGCAAAGAGAAGTCTCAGAACTGTGCAGCTCTTTCATGCAAACAGAAGGCAGACAGAAGCACGACAGCATGAGGCTGCATTATTTATTCAGCACAAACCTCAACAGGCTTGAATATATATATATATATATATATATATATATATATATATATATTTTTTTTTTTTTTTTTTTTTTTTTGGTTTTTCTTTTTTTAATAAATAGAGAATATTTTT